AAAAGGAAAAAAAAAAAAAAAGGTGAGAAAATCACTAAAAAAATAAACTTTTTTTTTTCTTCAGGACAACCAAGCACTGCTTCTGCGTAAACCATGTCAAATGACATATAAAGTGAAAACAACTTCAAGGCATCATGCATTAATTCAAAAGATGACAGATCAGCAGTTCTGTCCAGCCTGCATGGTTTCTAGAGAAATGTTTCATACAGGGTCAGAAAACAGGAAAAAGGAAACAAGATTTCATTTTAGAAAAAAGACAACTTGACACTTTCACACTTAAATATCCTTTTTAGATCCTACAGTAAAAAGTATAAAACATCCAGCCAATTCCATTATTCTGCCAAATATAGTTACAGAAAAGAGTAAATCTTGCAGAGTCACAGCACCTGAAGGAACACCTCACTTTGTAAGAAATCCATCACCCTACTTATTGCTTTCTGACAATGAAATTAAAAATTATTAAATTGATAAACAATCTGGCCCATATTTAGTGCCCACATTATACACAAAGATGTGCTTCACTAATAAATTGTTAGTTAAAACCTTCCCAAACCAGGCAGTATCTCTGCAGTGTCAAACAACTCAGTAATTTGGAAGTGTGAACACAGTGCTTTCAAAAACAAACAAGCAAACAAGTACAGTAAGTACAGTGACATTTAACTGAAATACAAAGGTAAAGGCTTATTTATGGTAATTCACACAATACAAATGTGTTTGTACTTAGAGAGATTCTTCCCTTCTAACGTTTTAAGAAAAATCCTGCAAATGCAGAATCTCTTTAAACCGTATTTATGCCTATCCAGTGATCATACACATATTTACACAATATAATAACAGTATCACCTAAAGGTCAAACGTTGGAACAGGTCTATATAAATAGTTTTTAGACAGCTTCTTTGTAACATCTGTTCTTGAACAAAAGCTAAAACATGGCCTCAGGGTTTGGTTCAGCCTTTTACTGTGGGAATCCAAGTTGACTCCACTGAAGCAATGATAAATGTGCTCCAGATCAAGCCTACCTATTTGGATTGATCTGCAGTGTGGTTATGTATTGCCTCAACATTTGAATAGTACTAATGTAAGAAGAGGCTGTGCAATCAATCCAAGTAACAGAGAAAAATCAGATCAAGTAAGAGAAACTGGCCCCAGGAAGAAAACTCACACAGATAACAGTTTAAAGAACAAATACAAACAAACCTTAGGTCCTCATCATAACTGAAGTAATACTTGTACGTTGACTTCCATTGACTTACACTGATTTACTGAGAATCTGGCTCTGAGTTTATAAATTAAGACCACTGATGAATGGCACTAGAGGCAAGTACAGTATGCATAGGAAACCTCCAGTGATCTTGTCCTGGTTTCAGCTGGGACAGAGTTAATTTTCTTCCTAGTAGCTGGTACAGTGATGTATTTTGGACTTGGTATTAGAATAATGTTGATAACACACTGATGTTTTAGTTGTTGCTAAGTAGTGAGTATCATAAGGTAAGGATTTTTTTAGTTTCCCATGCTCTGCCAGCAAGTAAGTGTGGCCAGGACAGCTGACCCAAACTAGGCAAAGGGATATTCCATACCACAGGATGTCATGCTCAGTATAGAAACTGGGGAATGTTGGCCAGGAGGTGCCAGCTGCTGCTCAGGGACTCGCTGGGCATCGGTCAGTGCGTGGTGAGCAATTGCACTGTGCATCACACGTCTCTCCTGGGTTTTATTTCTCTCTCTTTTTGTTATATTCCTTTTCATTACAATTATTATTATTACTACTAGTAGTAGTATATTTTATTTCAATTATTAAACTGTTCTTATCTCAACCCGTAAATTTTTACTTTTTTTTCCAATTCTTCTCCTAATCCCACCAGGGGCAGGAGGGAGGAGTGAGCAAGTGGCTGCATGGTGCTTAGTTGCCAGCTGGGGTTAAACCATGACAGATGTCTAACTTGCTAGTATTGTCAGCTGCCTTTATACAAGTGTAAGACAAAGAATCCTCCTTCTCAAAAATAAAACAGATTGCCTTCCTTTAAGGGTTGCTCTTGTATCTAACCACTATGGCTAGAACAAATGCATACTACACACTGACCTAAAGGAACATTTAAAGGAAACAGAGCATGAAAAAGACTTAGTTCCAAGCACAGCTAATGCATGATAATGTACTGTAATCTTCCTACACACAATTTTACTCATCTAAATGTTTGTTGGTTTGAACATCCATTCAGTGAACATCCACCCCTTTGCCCATTACTCAAAAGCCTATGTTGGTGTCAGTCTAAAAAACAAAGTTAGCAGACTGAGTATCTGAAGTAACTGGACAAGGCCTGTTGGATGATACTCAAGTCTATGATCATGAACTAAAAGCAGTTTTGTCATTTAGGCACAACTCCTGAGCCCAATAGTAAAAAAATGGGGTCACCACTCCAAAAGTTCACAGCTGCAGCAGTGGCAGTAAGAAAAGTATCATGGCCAAGTGCAAGAAAAAGATCATTAGATAGCCTTATGCTCTCCTAAACTGTTACCATGTACAAATCTTTGCTGCTGACCCTGTACTGGAGACTCACCTAAATGCTGCACATGGTGCAATACAGCTGCTGCTCAGCCAGCACCTTCTTTAAGAAGAAACCACTAACTCATCTTTGATGTGAGAAGCTGAAATTTGGCTTTTAATAGTCAAGGCTTGGGTTTTCATTTTGTGTAGTTCACAAGAGAGCTTAGTACCATAAGCCTGCCACTGCATACACCACTGTACACTAAGAATATTGCAAAATGTCTTTCTAAATCATAATACAAACAAGCAGAGAACATGAAACCCTTATCTCAAAGGATTCTTTTTAAATATCCTTGAAATGTGACATGTTAAGTGAAATTTGAGTATACTTTAAGTAAGAAACCACTTTTCACCAGTTTGTGTAAGTATAATGTTTCTTTCTCAATTCAGCTTGAATTTTAAGGTCCTGAGACTAGTTCTCAGTAAACAGTTTCCTAATGCTGACCCCAGTTAAAATTCAAGGCTCTGAGATTTAAGGCCCTCTTCCATCTCTTGTAGAAGTGAAAACACTTTGCTTGAACATTTATAAACCAGTTTATTTACTGTCAGCTATGGCTTTAGGCTTTTTACTTTATTCAGCTTGGAAAATAGAAAATAGACAGGTTTCACTTCCTGGTTTCTTGCTGAAGTATTTGGTTTAGAAAACAGTGCAAAGTAACTTTCAAATTTGATCATTTTAATTACATGATAATATTTGTTATCTAATTTTTTACTGCTTCAAGCCTTTCAACATTGTCTTTTAAAACAAGATAAAAACAAACATATACTAAAACCCCAAATGAAAGTGTATACTGCAAGCCATCTAAATATACATGAATTCTAAGCTACTTGGTGAACTATTCTACTCCACTGAAAATGACACTGAAATGTGTCTACTCCACTGAAATGACACTGAAAATCCACTGAAAAGTTGTCTTTTCCTGTAGTAGGAAGGGGCAGGGTAGTGAGATGGGAAGGCATTTTTCTGAGCAGTCTTGCAGCCTGAGGGACCTGATCCTGCAGCCAGACCCTGAAGCATGCAGAAGGGAGAACCAATGGCTATGGGACCTCTGCCTGCACTGTATATTATTTGTACGAAGTATATTATTTGTATTAAGTAGTATATTATTTGCAAGGTTCACTTGCAAATAATATACTACTTAAACCTGACAGACTCTAGGAAAGAAAAACAATTGCATAAGCCATCAGATGAACTGAGAAAAAAAATAAACAGAAAACCTAAGACTTCTTGCCAAATTAGTCCAGTGGGAAGAGGAAGGGAGAGAGGGAGAGGGAGAGAGAAGAGAGAAGAGAGAAGAGAGAGAAGAGAGAAGAGAGAAGAGAGAAGAGAGAAGAGAGGAGAAGAGAGAAGAGAGAAGAGGAGAGGAGAGGAGAGGAGAGGAGAAGAGAGGAGAAGAGAGGAGAAGAGAGGAGAAGAGAGGAGAAGAGAGGAGAAGAGAGGAGAAGAGAGGAGAAGAGAGGAGGAGAGAGGAGGAGAGAGGAGGAGAGAGAAAGAGAAGAGAAGAGAAGAGAAGAGAAGAGAAGAGAAGAGAAGAGAAGAGAAGAGAAGAGAAGAGAAGAGAAGAAGAGAAGAGAAGAGAAGAGAAGAGAAGAGAAGAGAAGAGAAGAGAAGAGAAGAGAAGAGAAGAGAAGAGAAGAGAAGAGAGCGTATACTGTTAACATCTTATTGAGCATAAGGTAACCAAGAGTCAGGGAAACGAAAAGGATGTGTGTTCAAGCTTTTACATGTATTACCTTCTGAAAACAGACAAACACAAGAAATGCTGAAATACAATTAAAAAATGTGTATATGCACAATCCAGTTTATAACCAAAAGCTCAGAACCACTTATAAATAATACTTTAACACTCATTAGAAACATTTTTTAGCCTTATAAGCTATACTGACATTTCACTTAATGTCTCAGGAATTTGATTTAGTCAATTACAGACAGCCTTGCATCTGTCATGGGACTAAATATGGCTCTCACACAAGACAATAAGGTGCTGATGTGAAATCTGGCCTATTTATTATTAAAATTGTAACTTTTCCCAGTGTTTAACATGAATTAACTTTATATATGTTGATGTCTTTGCTGTGTTTGTTAAGTTTACATACAGCAAAAATCCTATGTATCCACATAGTTTTAAAAAAAGAGAAACAGTGAAGCTTCACAGAACAGCACTGAGAGGAAAATGCCTTCGACAATTAAAATCACCTTTCTGATCACCTCCCTCGACACTTCCTCCTCAGTTTACGCTGCATGAAGGCACATGATTTACTGATCCTCCTTGCAAAAGGAAACAAAAAAGCCTGCACTTCACTGCCAGCAGGAAATGAAGGGAGTCATTACTGTGAAAATAAAAGTACCTTTTGGAGCCTCCAATATAGGTGAAGGTAAAGGTGGAGTCTGAGTACCTGAAATCTGAAAGACAGAGAGCTGCGTTATTACAACTTGTCTTTTTTATGGCTGAAATAGCCGAGGTTTTACAGACCAGCATTCAGCCACCGACGCGGGGGCGGGTGGAAGGGGGGGTCGGGGTGAATCAGAGGAAATGCAGCATCTTCCCCCCAGCCCTCGCAACAAGTGGCCGGTGCTATGGCAACGGCAGGGATTTCCATTGTCAGAAACGGCAACAGGCAGCCACCAGCCAGGCTTCTGCGACGGCTCAGCACGGCCGGCACCACACCGGCAAGGAAGCCGCGAAATCCCGGAGAGAGGGGGATGTGGCACGGAAAGGGCCCTTACTGCTCGCCATGCCCCTGGCCCTGAAGCCGTGCAGGCGTGCGGGGATAAAGGCAGGCACTGAGGGTGGCAGGAGCCCGGAAAACAACCGCGTAGCGCCCACCGGAGCGAAAAGCGCCAGGGCTGCGCTCGGCTGGGCGCTCGCCCCAGCGCCGCGGGCTGCGCCAGGCAGCGGGGGGCACGCAGACGCACACTCGCCCGCACCCGCCTGGTTCTGCGTGTGGCCACTGCCACGCTCCCTGACTCGGGATGC